AGCTGTGTGCTAGAATGACCTTCAAGAGTGAGGAACAGGAAGAAAACACTTGAGAGGCACTGAACTGCTCAAGACTGGGAGATGTAGGTGAGACCTTACCCACAGAATGTCTTGCTGGCTTTATGCCATCTTTCCCAGATATCCAAACCCAACCTGTGTCCCTTTTAGCATCTGAGGGAAAACTGTATCTTGTTTATTAGAGGCTGGCCTGGAACCTAAGGAAATAAAAATTGGGCCACGATGAATAAGAACCAATGACAGATCAAACCTCTTACTCTCCACAACTCAAACCCAGACGAGGCCAATTAATGAAAAAGCCGCATATGGTCACAAATAATACATATATTTCAGTTGTCCTGTGCTAGCCAAAAGGATTTCTGTCACACCATCAAGTATCTGTGCACTCTGTATTCAATAATGATTTATTTATGTATGGCTATAGTGTACCCTGAAACACATAGCTTGCTAATTAACTCATAGCCACCTGGAATGGTAATAAGCAAAACAATCTGGAACAAATCTATAAGACTGATCATGCGATGTACATGCTTCAAAATAGCCATCCTCAGTGATTTTAACCCATATAAGGGGAAAACATGCATTTCAAGTTAAATGCGGGGGCTATCCAGTGCTAATTACAGGACTGAAAATTAGGTTCTGGTTTTACAGGGAGGTGTGGGCTTCATTTCCAGTGGCCTTCAAAGGTGCTCAGCAGCACTATGAGCATCATGGAATCCTTAAGGTTGAAAAAGACCACTAAGATCATCTAGTCCAACTGTCCAAGTACCACCAATATTGCCCACTAACCATGTCCCTCAGTGCTACATCTCTGTGGTTCTTAATCACCTCCGGGGACAGTGACTCCACCACCTCCCTGGGCAGCCTGTTCCAATGCCTCACCGTTCCTTCTGAGAAGAAGTTCTTTCCAATATCCAACCTGACTCCCTCACACCCTCCAGCACAACTTGAGGCCATTCTCTTTCATCCTATCACTTGTTACCTGAGAGAAGAGGCCCGCACCCACCTCATCACAACCTCTTCTCATGCAGCTGTAGAGAGCAATGTTGTAGAGAGTACGTGCCCTTCAGTATTGAAGGACTGTAGTGAGAGCAAGATCTGGAAGTTTTTGTTATCTACGGAAGCATTGCTGTCCAGTGCTGTCCCTCAAAAGATAGTTACTCTGCCAAAGTTACTCTGGACTGGAAGCATTGTGATGGAGAACTACAGATCTGCAAGACCCCTTAAATTTAGGTGAAAGACTTCATACTCTGTGTGCATGTGCAAGAAGGCAGCTAAGTTGATACAAAGCTTTTTGACACTGCAGCTGCTTGGTTTGAAGCTTCCGGTATTTTAACACTTACTATTTTACCGTCACAAAGACATACAATGACTGGGCACTGCTGATGCAACTCCACACTCTGCTTTTGCTGCTGGTCAGTAAATTTAGTCCTGCTGGAAACATGGAGGTGGGCTATGGAGGCTGAACTGTTTCCTATTGGTGTTTAAGTTCCTTTGTGCCTACTGAACAGCTTCGCCTAAAATCAGCGACAACCTGCCCGCTCCCATGCCTATTTGTCATAAATGTGTGAAAACAGAACCCAGCATAGCTAGTAATTATCCCTTCTTTATGCCAATATGCTTCTGAAAGCATAATCATGATCAAAAGACACGTGATTCTCCTCTTACTGCTTTCTGTTTGCAAGTTTCAACTTTTCTTTTTTCCTGCTAATAAGGATTTTTTAATTTGAAAATCAACAACAGCTTTTGAAGCCTGTGCCTGTCCTCATGGTAATGACAAATTTCCCCTGACCTGAGGACTCAGATTCTGCAGGAGTGAATAGTAGCTGAAATAACAGGTATGTGGAAATGCTGCAGAAAAGGGCACATGAGAAGCATCTAAAGCTCCAGGGGACTCTTATGGATAATTTGGTGTCCATTGCAGGTGGTTCAGTTTGTACTTCAGCAAGGGTAAGTTTTGACCAAGATTAGTTAACTGACAATTTCCTTTCTTGTTTACAGCACATTCAAAGAAGCTCTGTGACGCACACCTGAGCACACTGGAGGGGCAGCAGGAGTCAACTCAAGGCAATGAGCTCAAGTTCAAGCTCAGTGTGAGTCCTTCACCTGGACATTGTAGACCTTCCCTGGAAATACCTAACTGGTCTCCGAGTTGGAAGACAGAAAACAAGAGGGCACCTTTCTTGCTTTCTACAGAAGAGGCTGCCATGAGCAGCTCCTGATCCATGCATCCATCCAGTGTAAACTAATGCCTTCTTGTTAATCTTATGCTAAGTCCGATCTCAAATTTTGCCCATGCCTGTATAGCCTTTATTTTCATTCCTTTCATTCCTGTCTCTCCTCTCTGTTTGTAAAGATTAAATGCCCTTGGCAGTCTCCTCCTATTAATAACTATCCAGAAGTATTCATGTTCTTCCTCATAACCATACTTACACAGTTTTCTGTCCCATCAGTTCCAGATAACCAGTCACTCCAGCACTGATCAGAGGACTGGAGCACCTCTCCTATGAAAAAAGGCTGAGGGAGTTGGTCTCGTACAGCCTGGAGAAGAAAATGCTCTGGGATGACCTCATTACAGCCTGCCAGTACTTGAGAGAGAGTTTAGAAGCAGGAATGAGACTGACTTCTACATGGTCTGATAGCTATGCGACAAGGAGGACTGGCTTTAAACTAAAAGAGGGGAGATTTAAGTAACGTGTTAGGCAGAAATTCTTTATTCAGAGGTTGCTGAGGCCTGGCACTGCTGCCCAGAGCTGTGGTGCCCCATCCATGGAAGCACTCAGTACCAGGTTGGATGGGACCTGGGTGACCTGAGCTGGTGGGGAGCAGCCCTGCCCACGGCTGGGGATTGGGGCTGGGTGGGCTTTTAGGTTCCTTCCAACCCGTGACAGTCTGTGATTCTATAATTTTTGAGAAATAACTAACATTTTAAATGTTAGTAAAACTGTGATGATCCGGAGAAGATATTTGTTCAGCATGCTGAACAGAGAATTTAGGAAGCTGAAATTTCCCAGTTCAGGAAGAGGGAAACTTTTACATAACATAATGTCTTTTTGGCAGAACTGATTAGAACATACCTGCACTAGTTATTGTATGACTACTGTGTGTATTGGCAGCTGTATCTGAGACCTTGAAAAGGACAAAGGACACTTGTAATGTATGTCCAGCTTACTACATAAGGCAGCACTGGATTTAGGAATGGGTAATTTGTGCACTGTGCCATTTTACAAGGCAGCAACACCAGTGGCTGACTGTCACCTTCAAGGGAAAAAGCTATGGCTCCTGTACAAAGATACTCCTGCTAGAGGTGAAAGCATCCATTTACCAGCGGTGGAGGACCAATCACCCCAGTGCAGAGCAATGATCAATGGTCACAGTAGGTTAACATTGACCCCATGAAAGCTCCTCACTCCTCTGGCAAGTGGATTTGACTTTCAAGGACAATTAAACTGTTTGTGCCTCCACTCAGTCTGTTTGGTGCTGTTAAATTCCAGTGTAAAATGAGTCTCATTTGAAAGAGTGGCATTGGTAACAGATAGCTTTTTGTAATTACATCCTCTTATCTCCTTTGATAAGTTAACAGAGCAACCACAATAGTTAGCAATGCAGATAGCGTGCAGCTACTAACATCTGAGTTAGCAGAAGGAGATGAGTTTACACATCAGAGCTTAAGTTTCAGGCTTCCAGAAAATTGAAGTCAGCCCCTTCCTGCAAAGAGACCAGCAGCCCCAGAGCACATCTGCCATCTCTCACTGGTAACACAGCCCGTCCTTCCCAGCTCGCCACACCACTCCAAGGTAGGACACATGCAGAGCGATCCTGCTCAGATCCTGCTTTACTGCATCACGCTGCTGCAGTCTGTCAGCCAGAAAATCTCCCTTTGGGCAGCCACAGACCTCTGCAGCAATCCTGAATCCAAGCCCAGAGCTCTTGCACTGCAGCTCCTCTGGCACAGAAATCCCTGCCATGCTGAGACTAATCTGAAGGAATTATTGACAAACCGAACGCCCCCCTCCACACACATTTCCAAACCTCTCCAGGTACTACTTTGTGTATTTCTTCCATTTTGCCTTTTCTCACTGAAATGCAGAAGAATGCATCTTTTTTACAAAAAAAAATCAAAAATCAAATCAGATTACAAATAAATAAATAAAAGCAAACCACTCCCTTAGGGAGAAGCCATACCCAAACTAGGTAACCCACTGTATATGCATTTCCCCCAGAGGGAGCATGCAAAAGCAAACAAAACGTGGCAGATGTTAGTCCTGGTGCTTGGTGTGCTGCTGGAAGGTGCACACATCCCATAGCAATGAGAGCAGAAGCTTACAGCAGAGCAGCCAAACACCTCCAGATGAGCTCTTCACAGTGCACTGCTTTGAAATCCTTCAGAATGATGTAGCACACAAATTATTTAAGCAAGACTGGATTTTCCTAAGCAAGACGGCATGATAAAACTTGGTGATACAAGGCTGAAATTGCACTACCTGAAAAGACAATACCTCATCTGAAACACTGAGTATCAAAATTATTTGCTTTTTTTTTTTTTTTTCCCCCATCACAATATGGAGAAGATAAAGTACATTAAAGCAAAGTATCTTTAGAATGAAGTATAAGCCATCTTGCAAATTCAGAGCTTTGGAAATATGAGTTGTCTTCATTTTTCAATCTTTGTGAGCTAACTAAATAACTACCTGAGCTTGTTTTTAAACAGCAGTGACAGCATTGTGGTTAAATGCTCAGATGTCATTAAAAACATCCTAAGTGACTAAAAAGGAAAAACGAAACCCAGCTCACTGTTTTTGTGTGTTGCATTATATCACCATTTCATTTTAGGACGTTGGATTTGACAGCATCTACCTCACTAAGCAGTAGCTCAAACACAAAGATGTGATAAAAACACAAAAATGTCATGCTTGTGAGCTTCAAAGCAGTACAAGGCTCAACTAATTTAACACCTTTTTACTCTTAAGGGAACTGCTCACCCACTGATTCATCTTCTGTTCACTCAGGATCATCCTGTCACAACCGATTGGAACACCAGTGTGTTTCTGTCTGCACAGTAAAAGAGAAATGAAAAAAAAAAACCAAAAAACAATTACAGATATAATAACAAGCTTTGTGGCCTCTGCTGAAGGCTGTCGAGCTCCCTGTGCTCTTTTCAGGAGAGCTCATTAAGCATGCATCACACCAGAACCAGAGCAATAGATGCCTGCACAAAAACAGTTCTACAAAAGTGTGGGGCATTTAAACAAGAGGAAAGACTCAGTGCCAAGGAGAGCAGTAATGAAGGCAGCTCTCAGTTGGTGGTAGTGGTATGGCTGATTGCTATCTCACCTGGGACTGTTCTGTCCCCAAGTTGAGGAGCAGCACTCTGGGAGGTGGGCAGTGGTTCCTGGTGCCTTTTGCTCAGTACCCTGTGAGAGAAATAGAAAAACACCAACTCAGGAAACACAGTGACTTATCTGTCCCATGGGATATGTCCTGTAACGCCACTAGGATAGCAGGGGACATTTATTTTACAGGAGTGTCCAGAGGGCTGGCGGAGAACTTTTCTTGCAGCATGCCCCATTATTGGGAAACACTGACAAGATGTGGGGAAAATGTTCCGTAAGGAGAAAGCCTGTATAAACCCAAATCCCCTCGGCAGCAACCTATCCACCACTTGTGTGGTGATCAATGAGATCTTCAGCAATTAACATTTGCTCGTTTAAGTATCTTCTCCCCTGGGAGCCTTTAGGTTTCATGTGTGTGCAGAAAGACAAGAAAACTTACCCTTTTAAAATCTACCCTTTTATTTCATGTCTTTTACTGAAGAAAATGTGGCTCCTCTTCAAGTCATAAACATCAGATATTCTGGACATCAGCAATCATGCATCCTGCTGCAGCATTCAGATTCCTGCTTTGTGGTGAACTCAGGATGTAAGGGGCCCAGGTATCGTATAATTTTATGTGAGCTCAGTGGGTGCATGATTTCAGACACACACACACACACACACACACACACACAGAACAGAGATAAGCAGCCGAAATTAGAGGAGGCTGCATTTCCCATGGGTAAATATTACTTCTACAGAGAAGTTGATAAAACAAATTTTCCTTTTAAGCAAATGCATTTTCACAAAACCCTTGCAAAAAACAAACAAACAAACAAACAAAAAAACAACACAAACATACCTGACATAATATCTGAGCCTTCTTCGCTTTCTTTTTCCTTCTTTTTCTCTTTCCCTTTGAGGGATTTCTTTCTTTTTCTGTTCTTTTGTTGTCACACCTGTAAGAATATTTGTGTTGTTCTCTTCCATGTATTTTGGGTATTGTACAGCAAATTAACACACAAGCAGGAGACTCAAGGCTGTTGTTTCCCCCTGTCTGAGGGGAATAGGTGCATAGATCCCGCATTCAGCAGGAATGGCTCCTTAGCATAAGAGAGATATTAAAATCAGCTTTTTATACCGGTGCTCCACTTTTGATACCAAAAATACCTTATCAATAAGCTGGCACAATAAGGATAGGTATGTCTGCAGGTTTGTGAAAATACACCCATCAGCCCCACAGACTGAGCAGCACAGTAAGCAGGACAAATACATCAGGAGCAAAACAGCGAAAAAAGCGCTTTTCCCCCTTCTTCTACCCATGCTGCCTTCCCAAATACTAGGAGAGGGGAAACGCATGGCAGAGACCACATCACACCCAATGTCACATGCCATCATCACCTTCTGGATGTGCCAGCAGATAATTCAGATAAAGACCAACAGGCACAAGGACAGGCAGAAACACTGTCAGCCCCAGCTCTGAGAATGATAGGTTGTTACTAGCATTTCCTAGGAGGCTGCAGATGTGAACTCCCTTTTCCTTTTTGGCTTTCACCTCTCAATCCACAACCTTCAGAAAGTGGAGTTTAAGTCTCTTTTAAGTTGATGTGCTACAAAGGAACTGAAGGAAAGCCTCAGGGGGAAGATATTGGCTTTAGCTATTTGATCCAGCTTTTCACATTTTTATTCTATGCCCAGTTCTGAAAAAAAGAAATCCCTTTATCCTATGATTCCTTACCTAATCAAAACTAGGCTATTTTATCCAAATAGCCAAGGCATGTTGCTTAAGTCCTGCACTGATTTTAGCCCCTGGAGAGTTAGACCTAAAAGACCGTTCCAGGAGGACTAGTCAGAAAGGAGAGCAATTTTTGCTGCTGCTGTCACAAAGCCCTACCTTTGTCACAAAATTTTACTCTTCCCATCAAGAAGTGCAGCAGCGTGGGGAGGGACCATGGGAACACAGGCAGCTCTGCCCTGAGCTGTAACTTTCCCTGTGCATTTTGCTTGCACAGGGAAAGCAACACAGCTGCAACATCGATGGGCACTATTTCCCACACCTCACATCAAGAAAGTCTTAACCATTTTGAGGTTTTGTCACCAAAGGTGGGAAAGAGGAGAGGGAGGGATACCAGCAAGAGAAATAGCATTAGAGATGGAAGGAGATTGCACAAAACAACACAGGGAGCTCAAGCACGAGCCAACATCCACTTAGTATCTCAATTTTCCTGGAGACCTGCAGGAGCATGGAGGTGTGGGGATCTCCTGTTTTCCAGATTCCCTTTAAAATACAGCCTAATGGTTGAGCAGAAAGAACCAGAACGCCTTGTGCCTCTTCCAGGGATCATTATCACACAGAGAAAATTATTAGATCAATGGATAATCAAAAGCTACAAATTGTTTGGGTTATCTTTATTTATTTATTTTACAGGTGTTAATGCCAGAGCAAAGTACTGCAGTCAGGGAAGCTGAATTTGGAATACAAATGAAAAGAACTTTCTGTAGCCATCCTACAATAATAAGCTGTGGAGTACTGTTGGCTCCCAGAATAATGTAGATGAAACTCAGCTATCATTACCCAGTTGGATCCTCAGCAGCAGCAGAGAGAAAAAAAGTGGATTTCAAAATAGTTTTGACTACAACATGAAGTTATACCCTTCAGTCTGAAATTCATTTGGAAGATTTGCTGAGCAAATGAAATGCTGTGCCTGCATTTTCTCTCTGCATTCTGAACTCACTTTCCTCCCCCATAAACATTTCCTTGCATGCTGCTTCATCTTATTCTTTGCAAAAAAAAATCCCCAAACCTGTAGACTGCATGAATGTTATCCAGCCTCCTCTGACCCATCACAAACTCTGAAGCAATTCTTAACCTAATTTCTGCAATCACAGCGGTAACAGTGAATATAGCTAGACCAGTTCTGCCAGCACAAGGCCTGCTCAAGTCAACATATACATCTAAGAGCAAGTCCCACTCTAGATCACTGTTCTCCATCAGTTCCAGAATAAGAATGGGCTGACAGCTCATCCTCAATCCTGCCTTCGCTCTTACAGCTGCCAGTATCTGTAAAATGAAATGTGTCACTGCCGACCCCCAGGGCAGCAAAGAAGGCTCTCCACAAAGCAGGGCTTACCTGCTTCCACTTTCCTCTGAATCCCCACATAAATCCTGCCCTGACCTTTGCTTTAATGTGTTGAGGGTAACTAACGTGCTAACACTGGCAAGTTGCCTAACTCCTTCTGAACACTGCCTTACACTGTCTTATCTTTATGTGCTGATAACAAATGAAGCAGAAATAATGACTTTTTTTTCCTTTTTGTAGCAGAGCATCCCAGAAGACCTTGCATAACGTCTGCTGCCTATGCTGCCCAGGGAGATGCTGAGGCATTGCCATCCTCTGTTGCTGTTACTCACGCTTTAGCAAAGGCAGGCAGGACCCTGAGGTTTTCTCTAAAACAGAGATGCAAAGATGAATTTACTGCTTCAAGAAACAGAACTGGTGGTGCAGAAAGCCACCAATTAGTGGATTATGATTTGCATTGGAGTTTCGCTGGCCAAGACTTTCATAAAGGCACTGGGACTCAGGATTCATTTTTTGTTTTTGTTTTTGTTTTCATGATTTTGGTCTAAGAAGGCCATGCTGTTTGTATCCCATTCTTTCATGTGAAAGTTTATTTAAAGGAATTATCTTGTTTTTTGCATTGTAGCTGTCATTAGTCTGTGTAGCTGCTCCAAGCAGACAACACCTGGGTGAAGAAGGCGCGTTTTCTCAGAGCAAGCAAAGTACTCCAATATCTGGTCATCAGCCACCCAAACAGCCAGGACAACACACTGGGAGGTTTTGGAGTGGGAACCTTTGTGGCTTTTGCAACAGCAGCAATATTTCCATGAAAGAAACAGAAAGAGATTGGTCACATGATGGTGGATCATCTGCCTCTTTCTAATTTCACTCTCCTTGAGAAGGAGACTAAATTGCTGGTTGCAAATTCTGCAGAGATCCCAGGCAAGCATCTGGCAGCTGTTCAGTCTGGATCACCCCAACCCTGAAACAGCCTCAATTCACTTTCTGAAGTTCAGTTGTTTTCAATAATGATATTAAAATCTTCCTCAAACACCAGGCTAAAAATATCTTTAAATGTCTACACACCTGTATCCTTTTCTTTCTCAAGAAAATCTTGAATTTTTTTTTTTTTAATGAAATAAAAGTGCATGAATAGACAAAAGAAAAGGAAAACAACAGCATAATGGATGAGGATTACAAGAGTCTCAGTTAATGAACTCACAGCATTCCTTATTTTTGATCTTATTATACCATAGAATCTTCCTGCCATAAAACACATTTCTGAAGTTCACCTTACATTCTGATGTGCATCTGCAGGAGGATTTTTCTATTGGAAAGGAAAATAAACTGCTGAACGAATATTGAATAATTACTCAGGAAAGTAACAGCTTTAGAGCAAGATTAAAACCTATAGTAGCTTTACCTACTGTAATGCAGCCACATTCTCAGGTTTGTTCCATATAGGCGGCTCATAACAGCATGGCATGCATGAGAATATTGAGTCAGTTCTCTACTCTGTATTTGGGAGAGATTTCCTTTATCATACCTTACTTGGCCTGAAGAACTGAAGCAGTTACCCCATCTGAGGTTCATGGGGCAGAGTTAAATCAGAAGTAGCCTTGTTTCCCATCAAAAATTACAAAATGCCTGCTGTTCACACTATCAAATTTCTGAAATCCTCATCCTCTAGAGCATTTCCAACAGTTTTCAGTGGGCCACTTCCCCCTCCCTCAATGCTGCTTCCATCCATGACTTTGGTGAGGGACAGAAAGAGTAAACATCAAAATATCTGCTTGTGGAGTGTGACGTGTACATGCAGTGACATAGAAATAAGGAGGAAAACAAATAACACTGAGACTCAACCAATCAAATCTAGAGAAAGGCAGCTGCTAGTGGAGAGAAATTTTAAGCTGCCACGTTGAATTCATAGTTAGAGTAAAGGGAGCTGCTCTCAATTTCCAGCCAGGTAGTGGTGAAGAGACCCTCCTGCTTCTGTCATCTGCTGCTTCTTCCCATCAAACACAGGGCTACTGAAAAGGTCAAGAGACTCAACTCTCCACTGCTGCTGCTGCGCTTACCATCTATCGCACAGCCTGAAGGCACCAAAATCAAACGTGAACTTAAGAGTGTGCAGCTGGGAGAATGGGATCAAGTGAAGAGATTGGTGGGTGGTAGATGAAAGAGAAGAAAGCCTGGGAAAAGATGAGAGACTTCCAGAAAGTCAGAGAATAGTCTAAGCTGACTAAAACAAATGGTGTTATCAGATTAGGGGACTGTTTTGTAGTATTCATGATCAAAACCAAGCAGAATTTCCTCCAGTATACTTTTAAATTAAAGCTTTTCTACTGTTGAGAAAATACCTGCAATTAACTTCATTGCCCTGTTTCTGGATGTCAGAAGCCACATTGATTGGTCTTGTCAGAGGCTGTGCCTAACCATTACAATACACATCTTATTCCAGACTGACATGTAAGAACAAACTCTCCTGACCTCCATGACCTGGCAGATATATCCTCACTGAAGCTGCACGAAAACTTTTAAAATATCTTTCTACTATCTGCTGTTTCTCACTGCAGAATATGAGACTCCTCACTATCTCAGAAACAGATCAGAAATGCAAAATTTAGACTTGTCATAATTCAGAAAGGGAGTAGGTGCCCACAGGCAAGACAGCATGCGCAGATCTGCAGAGAATGCAAAGCAACACACAGACACGCAGAGCTAGGGGTGACCGTGACTATAACCTGTAACCATACAGTTTCTCTCTGACACCCTCCTGCTTGTGCTTGCACAGCTGTTTATGCAAGGAACAGTGATCATTTTATGGGGGGAACACAGCTGTAAACATCCAGGGTACTCTAAATTGTATTTCCACAGCTAAGAGATAT